TACATACTGTAGTAATGTAAAAAAACTGGCTAAATAAAAATAGAAGTGAAAACGCAACAAGAAAGAGCTAAATGAAGTAGCAACTTACCGACTGGTTCAACTTTCTCAGATTGCTTTTTTTCTGCTTCGTCATAAATTTTTCCTAGTATGGATGTCGAATGGTAGCTTTCCTTTCGATCCATGTAGTGCGGATACTTTTTTGCTGTCAGCTCAGCAGGGACATTGATCTGTTGAGGGAAGGAAGATGATTAGAAAAGGCTTTAAACTGTTTAGTATAAATGCTTTGCATGTGGTCAGCTTTTGCCTTACAAGTACACCCTCTATTCTTAAATGTAAGACGTTTTGGCAGTTTAAATTAAACTGCCAAAACGTCTTATCTTTAGGAACGGAGCTAGTATCAAACAAGTAACCAACATAAGGTACTGATCATCCTCTTTCTTTTTAGCGAAAACCGTAGGGGAGGGCCTGACAGTAAATATATTAATAGGAAAATATGTACATGAGAGGGAAATATATACAGGAGAGAGCAGGGGAGGAGAGAGAGAACTAAGAGAGAGCAGGGAGGGGAAATATATACAGGTCATGCAGCTGTGTCAGCACTAACATTCTGTGTCAGCACTAACAAAAATGTGAAAAATCTGACAGATGGTAAAGCAAAATGAAAGAAGAAAATAAAAAGATAACTACCACCATTCATCAGAAAACCTATTCCTTTTCTTTCTTCTAGTGCATATCGAATTTGAAGTCTGATTTAAAAAAATACTCCCTCCGTCCCATAATATAAGAGCTTTTTTACACTAGTGTAGTGTCAAAAACGCTCTTATATTATGAGACGGAGGGAGTACTTAACCATGCTGGATACTACAATACACCTAATTAATTAGGCAAGGCGGTCTACCTTTTATAAGAGAACAGTTCATTCAGTTCCCTTCTATTAGATGTTAGCCAAACGGATGATATCTGGACATCTAGCAGTTAAATTCTAAATATGATAATAAACAATAATATGGAAGGGTGATGCACATGGAGCTATATAGTATAGTGCATAAAAGCATTTGAAACTACAGATTGCGTAAACTCAAGAATGGAATTAACCTTGGACCCGGCCTTTGGAGCGTCCAGGGCCAAATAATAAAGATCAACCAACTTCTTTATCTTTTTTTCTAGTACATTACTTTCATCTTCATCAACACCATCTGTTAACAGTCGGTCCATATATACTAACCAACTATCAGCTGCTGTGCCAAGTGCATTACTGAAAGTAGGAAAATTCCAAACAAGAGTTAGATCATACAATATTACAAAAGGTTGTATATTGATAGTTTAGCAGATAGCCGCTGACAGCAGGAATCCAAGAACTACACGGATCCATGCTTTATTTTTCTAGTTGAAAACATCAACAGGTAAAAGCCGGAAACAAATAAACCCATGTGAAAAACTCAACAAGCAGTAATAAATAGGGCATACAACACGGTCGTGGTGTTTCTCAGCTCAAGCTCAAATGAGCTCGAGTGAACAGTGAAATCAGAAAAAAAAAACTGAAATTGTTTTGCAGCAAACATTGACAAAAAAATTCAGTGCTCACCAAATTTCATCATGGAATAACATTCGTGGAAGTCATTGAAAAAAAATGGCTCCAAAAGTGTTATTTTCAAAAGCATTTTGGAGTGCTGCGGGTGGGGCATTGACGCATCTTGGTAATAAATATCCATTGTTAATAATTATAGCTGAATTTATTGTGACTACACTCTCTTGGTGGTGGATTACTAGTACTACCACAATGCCCGTGCATAGCTACGAAACTATAAGATATGAGTTAGGTCACTGGCTTAGGAAATCGTCCAAATACGTTGGCGTCATGCGGCCTTTGCACGCAGTTTACAATTAAAAAGAACAAACATACAAACAACAAAAGATCACACGTCAAGCATTGGAGAATCTTAAGTGACCATAGTCCTTTACAGACACAAAATTCCGAATGTTGAAACATATGAGAATTGACATTGGTAAGTTGACTGCACAAGATCGTGGGTCGGGTAGGACAGGAGAACAAGGTCTATGGTCATTTTGGAATTACAATTTGTTCACTCTCTTGTTCTGTGATATAAAACTGAAATAACTTGGTTGGGAAGGAAAAAATGACAAATAAGAACATTATATTGAGTTGGAGTCGCATTTCTGCATTTGTTATTTGTGTCTTCTATAAGTGTTGGTCTCACATGAAAGTAGTAGTGCATTTGTTTATTTGCGTTAGGTCCCACATATGAGTAGAAATACATTTGTTTATTTATGTTCTTGGAAGGTTGCTGTTCCAATGTGGGTAGAGGTTCATTTGTTTATTGTTGAAGGCTGTTTGGTCGCAGATGTGAACTCACCAACTCCAACCTTTATAAGTAGGAAAGATTAGGCAGTGGTAATACTGGAAAACCATATTACTTAATACTCTTGTAGTGTCAAAAAACGTCTTATATTTTGATACAGAGGGAGTAGTAATTAAGGGTGGGCTGGGTGCCAATAATCAATGATTATTCGTGGTTCTATAAATCAAGTTTGGCACTAATTGAACAAATCAAAATGGAATACAATGATCTGCATATTATTCAATTCTAATCAGCCAAACACAAACACATCTTTTCCTGGATTTACTCATCTAAATGTCATATAACTAAATGAAATCCTGCTCTATCTCATTCTCATACACCTCCAAATAATCCGTATGTACCAGCCTATGTAGGGCACACCACAGAAGGCAGAAATCGTCTGTACAGTATGCACACTCCTCGGTATGGCAATCTTGTTAACAAAGAAAAACTGAGAATATTATAAGAGGAGAACTTACCAAAAAAACGGTAGCGGCGTAAACCCAGAATAATACCATCTTCAGCAACCTTATGGTAAGGTAGAAAATCAATCACAGACTCTGAAGATGGCCCCATAAACTTTACCAAGAGGACGTTATCATCACCAACAATTTTTTGCAAATGAGTCCGTGTATTTTGTACATATGGTCCCTGTCTCCAGTCAAATAAAGTTAAATATAAGATTGGTCTGACCTACAAATAGAAATTCCTTGTTGAACGCAACATTTGTCGATTTTGGTCCCTAAACGAATTACTTTTGTTGACATTTGCCTAAATATTGTAGTACTACTAGCATACTGCGCATGATTTATCAACTTATGCAATCACAATCACGTGATTATCATAAAATGCATATTTACACTTTGTTAGAGCTTGCACAGTATGTGTGTCTGGAATACACTTATATGTGAATCTAGAGGAACAAACACACTCAAAATGAATCAACAGAAACAATTAAAAAAAACATGGCCGGTAGGTGTGCATACATCGAATAGCAGGTCATCAACATAATATCACAGTGAAACAATAAATATAAGAAGATGATGCAGAAATATTAGAAGTGTCACAAACCTTGAATACTTTCACTACAGAGTCCCCTGTTATCTCTACAATACAATGGTAGACTCTTGTTGCACCTGGGTCGGAATCAAGGTTCTACAAGCATCAAGTTGAGAAAAGGGGAACAATTCTATCGGCCTCAAGGTATCATTTATTAGAGGGAAAATCAGGAAGAGGAATAATTATTTTGCGCGTAATAAGGAGGCACTTCCTTGCGGCTGTCGTGGACCCAGCTGTTAGCCTCTCCATGTACAGTACTCTTCCGATGGAAGTCGGTCGTTGACCACATTGACCACGCCGCGCCGAGAGCACTGTCGGTGTCAAAACCGGCGGATCTCGGGTAGGGGGTCCCGATCTGTGTGTCTTAGGCTGATGGTAACAGGAAGCAAGGGACACAATGTTTACTCAGGTTCGGGCCCTCTCGATGGAGGTAAAACCCTACTTCCTGCTTGATTAATATTGAAGATATGATTAGTACAAGAGTAGATCTACCACGAGATCGTAGAGGCTAAACCCTAAGAGCTAGCCTATGATGGTATGATTGTAATTGTGACCGGCCTTCTAAGGACCATCCTCTCCGGTTTATATAGACACCGGAGGGGGCTAGGGTTTACACGGAGTCGGTTACATGGAAGGAAATCTAATAACCGGATCACCAAGCTTGTCTTCCACGCAAAGGAGAGTCCCATCCGGACACAGGCCAAAGTCTTGAGTCTTGTATCTTCACGCTGCGATAGTCCGGACAATGTATATAGTCCGGCTGTCCGGATACCCCCTTATCCAGGACTCCCTCAGTAGCCCCTGAACCAGGCTTCAATGACGATGAGTCCGGCGCGCAGTCTTGTCTTCGGCATTGCAAGGCGGGTTCCTTCTCCGAATACTCCAAGGTTATTTATCGAAAATGTAGACCGTGTCCGGAACTCCGGATCTGCAAAATGGTCTTCATACACCTCCGTAGAGAGAGAGATACTTCAGCTGACAACCTTTTAAATGATGTGATATGCCATTACAAACAGGTTCTTATTCGAACCGTTTTTCCACATCCAGCCACATCGCATGTTGCGAGGAGGTTTCCTTGACACGTCTTGTCAAAGCAGAGATCATGTCCCCTTATCACGGGATTCTCATCAATACGGGTATGGGTAATCCCCCCGTGCCATCAATCGTGGCGCTTGGGAAGTAAGTGATTCTCAACAGGCTAGTGGGGGGGGGGCGCACCGCTTTTGCCGCCTCTGTAAAGGGATAAGAGTTCCTCATTTTCTCCCACGCCTTCTTCCTCCTCTGCCCACTCTCGCCTCCTCGAGCTCCAGCGCCCAAGTCCAAGTCTCCTCCGCACAGCTTAACATGTCCGGAGCAGGAGGCAAATGGGTGGCTTCCACCGTGAAGGAGAAGAACATCGCAAGTCTTCGGGCAGCCAGATACTTGGCCGCAAACATAGCGCATCGGCTACCAGAGGAGGGGCAGGTCATTCCAACTCCAGGACCCCACGAGAGGGCCGTGTTTCTTGCCCATTTCGTCCGTGGACTGGGGTTTCCACTCCACCCCTTCATCCGCGGGCTCATGTTCTACTACGGGCTAGATTTCCATGATCTAGCCCCGAACTTCGTCTCAACATCTCGGCATTCATCGTCGTATGCGAGGCTTTCCTCCGCATCAAGCCTCATTTCGGCTTGTGGCTGCAAACCTTCTACGTGAAGCCGAAGATCGTAAGCGGCCAGCAAGCGGAGTGCGGAGGAGCCATGGTGGTCAAAATGCCTAACGTCACCTGGCTTGACGACTCCTTTGCGGAAACCATGAAGGGGTGGCAATCGGGGTGGTTCTACATCACTGAGCCGCGAGACGCCAACTGGGTGGCGGCCCCCGAGTTCCGATCTGGAACCCCTATGCGGCTCACCTCCTGGGAACAGAAAGGCCTGCTATGGGGCGAATCTAAAGAGTTGGCCGGACTCACCACCTGCATCAAGGGCATGAAGGACAAGAACATCAAGCTTGTCAACGTGGTCCAGGTCATGCTTGTTCGCCGGATTCTGCCGTGCCAGAGGCGGGCGTTCAATCTGTGGGAGCTCGTCCCAGCCGAACACCAGACGCTTCAGAGGCTATACGACATGAAGCACAGAAACGCGTGGAAGGCATTGTTCAAGGCCTCTGAAGTACCTCCTCCCATATCCGAGGACCGCGGGCTCCACGCCGCACGGCGTCCTGCTCAGGTGAGTTCTCAGGCCGCCCCTGGATTCGGTTTTTCCCGATATGTTCATGGGGGAGCCTTAAGTAATTGTGTATATTTGTGCAGGATTATGTGGACACAGTGGAGCGGATTGACTGTCCGGCTCCGCTGCCAGAAAGCCTAGCTGATGATCTTCTGACGAAGATGCTGGTCCCGGCGCCCCATAAGGGGCCGGAGAAGAAGGCCGATAAGAAGGCCCCGGGGACCCGGAAGGGTCTCCGGCGTAAGGTTGCGCAAGCCTCGTCCGAAGACGACGAGGCGCACTCCTCCCCTGAAGGGGAAGAAGAAGAAGAGGAGGCCGCCCCGTCCGAAGAGGACGAGAGGCACAAGAGGGCGGACCAGGGGACTAGGAGAGGACCCCAGTGCAAGGCCGTCATACCTTTGTCGTCCAATGACGACAAGGCAGATTCCTCCCGCGGAAGCGGGGGAAAACAAGAAGAAACTCCACCTCCCCGTGCAGAGGGGGAGAGAAAGAGGAAGGCCGCCCTGGTGGGGGAGAGTGGGACGTCCAAGAAGGGAAAAGTGTCCCTTCCGGACTACTCCGCCACCGCCGCCGATAGCGAGGAAGGGTG